CATTTTCTAGGCACTTCCCTTCCTGTGGAGGTGATAGGAATACAATCCTGTCCTGACAGTGCCTAACAGCCCAATAGCACCTTATTTCAATGTGACTAGTTTGGAATGTGAGGAGGTGACCGGTCGCTTCCCAGCTTATGGCTGCCTCTGCTGCTTAGCCAAAGGCCTGAGCCTAAGCACAGGGCCACAAACTGTCACAGTAAGAGAAGGCCCTTACACTGGCAGACAGTGGTTTTGATTCTTTCTTTTATACCTCTATCACTAGACAATTGATAAGAATACACCTAAATTCTTAGAGTATAGGCCTTTACAGACAGGCCTGAATATCTATATCCTAACAACAACCCTGGGTTTAGCAGGCCAATGCTCAAACCACTGAGCTATCCCTCCCCCCTGGCTCCCTGGCCCAGCTCCCCACGCTCTGTGCAGCACAGTGCAACTAGATGTGGGATTCTTCACTTGTCCTAATCTACTGTGCTGTGTGGCTGTTAAAGAGCTGCTCCGTCCCACCCCAGAGGTGGCTGCATCTCAGTGCTGGGCAAAGGATCCCTGTATAAATAGCCCCTGCGCCCCACCCCAGAGGTGGCTACATCTCAACCCCAGGGATGAACTGAGTGACTGGAATACAAGTGACTCTAGTCCTGGGAGTGACCAGGGCTGCTGGGCCTCTTGCCAGGGAGGTGGGCAAGAGATTGGGGCCCTGAGGTGGTGCAAGGCCGGGGCCGAGATTCTTCTGGCCGTGAGAGCCCAGTGACTCAGTCAGTGCCCTGCTCCCAGCCAGCCCTCCCCATTCACCGAGCCCTTCGTGCCAGCCATGTCGCTCTGAGGCGCAGTAGGTGCCACTCGATAGGTCACCTACAATCACACGGTTTCTTTTCGGTGCCTCGACTGGGCAGCGGGTAATGAGAGGTGGATAACTGATTCTCCAGGCCAGGACTACAGACCTGCTCCCCCGCTGTGCCAGGGATGCCCCGCTGGTCCCATCTCTGCCCCAAGAGCCTCCCCCTGCAGTCCCTGGCAGGGAAGGGATTGCCCCACTGCCAGCGCCCAGCAGGCCTATGTGTGACATGAGTTTGGGGGTCTCAAACCCGTCCCTAGGGGGATGGGTCCATGCTCTGACGGGGATTAGCTGACAGCCAAGGACTGACCAAGAGTGCCCTCCCCGCCTTCTCAGGCAGGGCAAGGGGTGGAGTACAGAGTGATCTGCTGTGGGGCCCAGGCCCTCAGTCTCTGGGGCTGGCAGCACTGCCCCAGCGATGAACCTCCCCCAGGGGCAGGGAGCAGCTGCCGGGTCCAAAGCATCCCAGCAAACACTGGCCATTCGGCACCAGCCAGGGGAAGGTCTCGCACCCAGGCCATTCTGGATCAGAAGCGTGTGTGGGGAGATGGGAGCTGAACACGGACCCCTCTCCAAACTCCCAGCAGCCCCCAGGGCCTCGTCCCTGCGATCCCTCTACCGCCATGGACACAGGGACCCTCAGCCAGCCCCCCCATAGGGCCCAACAGTGGGGAACCCAGCCCCTTACCTGGCTGGTCCCTCCCACGGCCTTGACGCTGGCCCCAGTTCAGCCCAGTTCCCCCACTCTGCAGGGCTCTGGAGAAGCCTCCACTGGCAGCTTTGCGGCTGGCGCTCTGTGGCAGCTCCTGCCGAGGCCCCAGGGCCCAGGCCGGGCAGCGCTGCCCTCCCAGGGGGCTCGTTAGCCAGGGCCATGCAGACGCCTGGGGCCCAAAAGCCAACCATGGCTCCCCAGCCGGGAGCGGGTTTCCTTGACACCTGGGTACCCCAGGGGGCTAGATCCTAAAGAGCAGGAGGGGAAGATGCAGAAAGAGGAGAGCTGTGCCCGGGGCCGTGGAGCGGGGGGATGGGACAGAGCGACGTTTAAACCAGAGGGGCGGAGGGCGCGCCCCATCTTCCTCAGAGCCCTGGGCTGGCCTGTGCCCCCTGGCCCCAGGGGTGGGGGCTGGAAAGTGACTTGCCTTGCCCCAGAGTGCCAAGGCCACTGGCTGTACCGGAGAGACAGGGCAGCTGCAGGAAACCGCCCCCCCCTCCCTGCCCCCGAGCCGGGCTCCGTGGGGCCAGGATTCAGGCCTGGGGAGCTTTGGGCCTTGTGGAGGGGACTCCAGCACTGGGGAAAGGGCCAGCTCGACTGCCCCAGAGCCCAAGGCTTGCGTCACACCCCCATCCCCCACGCCAACGGCCCTGCCCTGAAGGGACCCATCTAGGGGCAGAGCGGAGCTCAGGCTCTGTAGGCCCAGCGTGCCGGTCCCACAGCTGGCAGGCAACGCGGGTGCTGTCCCAACAGGAACTGGACTGAGCCCCTCTCCACAGCCACCACCCACTGTCAGACACTGCTCCCCTGGGACAGATTCGAACCCGTGCCCCAGAGAGGAGAGACGCCCCCTACCCCCGCCAGCCCAGAATATTATTACTCATCTTACATAGCACTGTCCAGCAAAGCACTTCCCAAAGGAGGTCAGTGTCATCATCCCCACTGTACACATGGGGAAACTGAGGCAGAGGGCAGGGAAGGGATTTGCTCAAGGTCACCCAGTGGCAGAGCCAGACATAGACCTTCAGTCTGCTGCATCCCAGTTCAGTGCTTTACCCACTAGGCCACACTGCCTCCCTTGAATCATAGAATCATAGAATATCAGGGTTGGAAGGGACCTCAGGAGGTCATTTAGTCCAACCCCCTGCTCAAAGCAGGACCAATCCCCAATTAAATCATCCCAGCCAGGGCTTTGTCACGCCTCACCTTAAAAACTTCTAAGGAAGGAGATTCTACCACCTCCCAAGGTAACGCATTCCAGTGTTTCACCACCCTCCTAGTGAAAAAGTTTTTCCTAATAGCCAACCTAAACCTCCCCCACTGCAACTTGAGACCATTACTCCTTGTCCTGTCATCTTCTAAAGGAAGACTCTGTGGCCATAGCTCGGGAGCGGCTTTCCTTCCACGCACTGCCAGGGGATGGCATGAGATGTTTAGTATTGTCTGTCCCAAGTGTGGGGAGGCACGAGCCACCCCGGGTCCCACACAGGTGCCTCTGTACAGATGGCACGAAGGCCGAGCGGGCCCATCAGCTTTGGTGCCCCTCTTGCGCCCCAACATTCAGAAGTCACTAGTCAGGCCTCAAAATCATGAGATTTGCTTAAAAAATCAGGTACAGAATATAATGAAAGGAGGGGGGGTGCTCCTATTTGCCCCCCCTTCACCTGCCCCAGTGTTACAAGAGCAATGGGACGCTCTGTGAAAGCAAATGTCAAGGGAAGTTACATAGTTAGCCAGGGGAACTCACTGCCACTAGATGTCACTGACATTGCGAGCCTGGCAGGATTCAGACAAGGATGGCAGGCGGCGGGGGGAGCAAGGGTGTCAGGGCAGAATTTAGAAAAAAGGGCACAAGGCCACTGCTGACTGTCAGGATGAGGGAGATATGCCCCCCTTCCTCCCCTCCCCCGACTGGTTATGTCATCACAAGCCACTAGAGGGGGTTCTTGCACCTTCCTCTGAAGTAGCTGGTGCTGGGGCGGCTGGCCCCATTGATCTGATTTGGGGAAGGAGGCAGCAGGGAGAGGGCAGGGTACTGGGCTAGATGGGTCCTGTGACGCTAGCAGACCAGGTGCCAGCTCATGCCCAGGCCCTTAGGCCTCACTGAACACTGACAAATGCAGAGCTTGACCCAGCCTGTGTGTTAGCCGTGTGACAACAGCTGCTGATCAGCGTGTGTGGAGTGTTTCGACTTGTGGAATTGCTTGCCGGATTGATCTCTCCCATAACCTCTGTAGCCCGTGGTATAAAGTTAGAATGAACGTTTGCATCGTAAACCTCTGTAACTGCTCCACACCACTGAGTTTGCAAGGCAGCTTACGTCCACCTAACACTGCGTCTACACTAAAATTTGGCTCCCGCTGATGTAACTCACCTGCTTTGCCGACTTAATCATGCCACTTCCCCCAGTCAGCGTAGTTAGGTCAATGCAGTGTCAGTGTACGTACTGCATTGCTTACATCGACTGTCCCGCAATGCCCCACACTGACAGTACAATCGATACCACACACCACAGACACAAAGAGCCAGGCGTACACACACACAAGTGCTGTAACTACTGTGGCGGCTGCATGCAGGGCGATTTGATTTTGTAGTGTAGCCGTGGCCTGTGTAATTCCCCCAACAGGGGAGAAGCATGAATTAGTGTAAAGTGCTGGGCCTGCCCATTGAAACCAAACGAGCCATTGCGAAACATCTTACTGATTGCCTCTGTTGTTAGATATTTCACTGCGTGTGTGTGTGTTCTCCCTGTGTGCTGCCCCAGCTCTGTGCAGACAGCCAGCACAGCAGAGCTTGAGTGAACCGCCCAATGACCACAAGATCTGTTAAGGGACGAAGGCACCCGGCCAGGTTTATTGTTGACAAGGCATGCTAATAGCACCTGGCAGATTCTACGAGGATACTAAGACACGTATGCCTGTGACAATGGACACAGCTCAGTGAATGGCGGGACTTTCCATTGCCCCTTTGGCTGGACCAACACATTCTCTCAGAGATACCCTCATACAAACAAGCTGCCCCTCTGACTTAGATACTGCCCTCTGACCTGGCTAGTTATTGTCCATTTTTTTTTGTACATGTTGGTTTGATTAAAACATTTGTATTTATTACGTTGCTATTTGACCTGAGAGCAGGAAAGGAGTATGGATGAGAGCAGGAAAGGGGCACTGAGGACAGCCCCCTGCCTCTCCCCCCCCACCCCCCAAACGAGGGGCCCTGGATCTGGCTGCAGGAGGTCTCCGCCCTCCTCATAACGGTGGACGGGTGGAGAGTTCACAGCAGGGCACTGAGCAGCTGAGGGGGATGTGGGGAGATGGGGGGGCATCACTGGAGGAGTCAGCGTGTTCTTTGCTGGCTCCCCATGCCCCCCCCTCGAAAGGGGGCCCCAGGCTGCTCCCCCCAGGGACTGTCAATCATTCAGTGAGGAGCCATCCCAGCCCCTCCACCCCAATGGGGCCTGGCTTGGCCACCAGATCCCAGGTTCCTGCTGCTTGGCCCCTGCTGATCTGTCCTCCCCCCACCCCCTGCCAGGACATCATTGAGGACAAACTGGACAAGAATCTGTGGCCCTTTTTGTCGGACCCGGTCCCTACCACCAGCTCCCAGGCTGCTGTCAGGTAAGGCTGAGCCTGGCTGGGCTGTGGGGGGCAGAGCCCTGACACACACACCCCAGAGTGTAGGAGCCTCTGTGCCTGGGAGTGTGTGGTCAGGACCCTGCCCTCTACGGGGGAGGGGATGTCCAAGAGCCTGGAGCCCTCTTACCATGTCCCCCGCACCCCAGCAGTCCCTCAACACACCAGGGCCCAGGATGGAGGAAAGGGACTGGCCGAGCTTTAGACAGACCCCCAGCCCAGCGCAGGTGCCACCCTCCCCTACTCCCTCTTGCCTGCTTTGGGACTCCTGCCCCACTCCCTTGGGCAGGGCCTGCCCCGCAGCCTCCTCCAGGCCCTGCCCTTCCATCTGGCATTCCCTCAGCGAGCCCCTGGTATCCACACGGCCCCTCTCTCCCCCCAGCACCCGCTTTAGGCATTGGCAGAAGAACAAGCCAGCGGCCGAGTACCGGACGGGCCCGCGCCTCATCATTTACGTGCTGGGTGGGGTGTCCATGTCTGAGATGCGCTGTGCCTACGAAGTGACCCCGGCCATCAAGGGCAAGTGGGAGGTGGTGATCGGTGAGTGGGGCGAGTCCTGGGGGAAAGGGCGGCTGGAATGCCCAGGTCAGGGAGAGTTGGGACCCCCTGGGAGGGGGAGACCCTAGAACTGCCTGCCCAGCACCCACAGGGCTCCCATGCTACCCTCTGTCCTCCCACACCCAGGGGCCTGGGAACAGATGTGATTGCCCCACATGGCCTGTATCTAGCCGCCTGATCTCCTGGCCTCTGTCTCCCCAGGCCTCTCATTGCCCACGGACCATGTGTGGGGCCCCAGTCAGACACCCCCAGTAACTCCCATAGGGATATGGCTCACCCCCTGCACACACCCCTTGAAGACCCAAGGGTGAGGAACACTGTCAGCGCATGGATTCTTGCCTGGCTGTGCAGGGTACAGCGGCACGAGGGGTGCGGTGCCAGGCCAAGGGGGATAGGAGACAGTCCCTCCCCCCCTGCACTAGAGCAGGGTCCAGCTGCAAGGATGGGGGTGATGGTGATGCCAGCCACATACCTGCCTCACTGTGCCCACCACTGCCAACCACCTCTCTCTCCCCCAGGTTCCAGTCACATCCTGACCCCCAAGCGCTTCCTGGATGACATCCAAACCCTCAACCAACTGGACCCCGAGGAGGCCTAGAAGCAGCCCCCTCCCCCCAGAGACTCTGCCCCCCACAGTTTGCTGCCCCCAGCTCCACCTGCTCTTCTCAACAAGGCATCTTCCGCCCTACTCTTGGCTGCGGTGTCAGTTCTTGGGCGGGGGGAGGACCCCCAGGCTGCTTGGCTGTTCGGGCAGGGGGCAGGCCAGGCTTCCTCCCTCTGGCACAGCCTCTAGGGCCATTACCCTTTGTGCCCCGTGGCCACCCTGCCCCCGATTGGGTAGGAGAAGAGTCAGGCTCCATTATCTACCAGCTTCAGCCATTCCTACCTCCCCTCCCTGGGACCCAAAGCACAGCCCCTTTCCCTCCCCCTCCTGTCACCCCTCTGCCAGCGATGGGGGGCGCACAGAGGCTGCTTCCAGCATCTGGCTTTGGGGGGGGTGGTGTGACCCAGCCACTGAGCCCCAGGCTGTGTCTGTCCAGTCTGAAAAGAGTTAAAGAGACCCCCCCCCTTCTGCCCCCATATCATCCCCATTCACCGCCTTGAGGTGCTGGCCCAGCCCTGGCTCCCTGCACCCCTCCCATCACAGCCTGGCACCCTGGCCTCTTGGCCCTGTCCCCCAGTGGGGACCTCGGCTCCTGAAGGGGGGAGGGGTCCTAGCAGGAGTTGCAGTCAGAGTGCCCAAGTAAGTGGGGGTGGAGCCAGGACTGCGTAGGAGGCGCATCCAGGGTTGGTCAGCAGCAGGTAGAGTGACCAGATGTCCCGATTTTATAGGGACAGTCCTGATATTTGGAGCTTTTTCTTATCTAGGCTCTTATTACCCCCCACCCCTTGTCCCTATTTTTCACACTTGCTGTCTGGTCACCCTAGCAGCAGGGCAGAGCGGGCTCGCCACCTGATGGGCCTGGATCAAATGCCCCTGCCCAGTGGCAGACACCTCCCCACTGCCTTTCCCTGGGTATCAGAGCCACGCCCTGGGCACCTGGAGCCCCAGCTCCATCTGAGGCAGCCAGCTCCAGCCCCCTTGGGTCTGATCAAGCCCTGAGCCAAGCCTCACCCCCTGAATCCCACGGGCCCTAGAGATCCTCTCCCTCTTGCCTGCCAGGCGGACTGTGCTGGGGCAAGCGCTGGCAGGAGTGATCCCAGGTAAAGGCAGTGACCTCCTTTACTGGGAGTGACCTCCAGGGGGTGGGAGGCGCAGGGGGAGAGTTTGTTTGTTCGCAGCTCTGAGCCCCTGCCCTCCCCACCCATTATCACAAAGTCAGTGCTGGCCCTGCCCCCGGCTACTGCCCTGCTGGGCATGTGCCTGGGCCAATGAAGTGCATTGCCAAAGGCTGGCCGAGGTCTCTGCTGCTGTTCACAGGCAGGGGAAGGGAGGGCACAGGGCGGGGCGGGTGGCTGAGGGCCCAGGGAGCGGGATCTCCACAACTCCCCCTCCAGCCCTGCTGCAGGTCCCAGGTGTCCTGGCTCCGAGTCACCAGGCCAGCGCTGCCTCCCCGCACCTGGGAGCAGGGTGGGGCAGTGGCTGCTCCTTTCACTGTTGGACTAGGGCCTGGGGGCAGCTCTGCTCTGGCCTGTGGTCGCCCCCTGCTGGTGCAGTGCTGGCTCACCCAGCCGTGCCCCAGAACCTACATAGTTCCCTGTGGCCCCCTGCTCCTAGTGCCTTGTTCTGCCTCTGGTCCGTGTGCGAGGGGGACCAGGAGGGAGCCTCAGGAGTCCCCTCAAGCTAGCTATGGGGTCCCCATCAAGTGTGGGGTTGGGACAGGCACTGAGCGAGCACCAGGGCCCAGCCCCCACGCTGGCCCCCACAGGGAACCATACCCACCCAGCCCCTGCCCCTCCCAGAATCAGAGCTGGAACCCAGCCCTCTGCGTCCCAGCCCCTGCTCTAACCACTAGCCCCTGCTTCCCGCTCAGATGTGGGACAGAACACCTACCTCCTTGGTCCCCCTCTAGGGCTTGGTCTTTGCCCCAACCCCCACCTCCTCCATCCTCCTGTGCCTAGAGCTGCCCCAGGGTCCCACCACCCTGGCTGCTGCTGGCCCCCAGCTCTTGGGGCCCTATTCCTCCGCTGGCACCTGCATTGTGTGAGCAGCTGTGTAGGCTCGTCCCGCCAGCTAGGCCAGGGCTCCCCTCTGGCACCCTCTAGCCTGTGCCAACAGCTGGGGGTGCAGTGGCAGTGTCCCCACCTCCCTCCTTGTTGGAAGGTGAAAGGAGACAAGGAGGGGCTGTGAGAGAGCCCCATTCTCCGACCCTTCCCGCACCCGGCTCAGCTCGGAGACTCGTCCTGCCTCTGTAGTCACTGGGCATGGGGGTTAGCGCCATCAGCAACCCCACCCCCACCAGCTGGAGACAGTGAGAGACCAGTGCCAGGTCAAGGACCTGCCCCAGGTCCCGGAGGAGTATGGGGGATCAGGGCCCAGACCAGGGGTGACCGTGGTGGGGGATCAGACCCATCACTCATGAGGGTTGGGGGTTGTCTAACTTCTCCTGTCAACCTGTGACCCCTCCTGCCCTCTCCCAGCCCATCCCCTGCTCCCTTGGTGCCCAGGGGGCACTCAGCCAGCCGCACATGGTCGCGCACCCCATGAGGTGGGAGGGAGTCTTCAGGCCTGTGAGCTGTGCTGTGCCAAGGACCAAACCCAGCTTACCCAGGTCCTGGGAGATTTTCGTGATGCACAGAGTCACTGCTCTGGTTGCCTGTGACCCCTCCCGCCCTGACCTGCGGTGTCCCAGCCAGGCCAGTTGGGGCGGGGGGGGGCGGGGGGGGAGCAGCACGGCTATTGCAGGCAGCTGGGGAGGGTGGGGGGCTGGAGGGCACTGACTTGGCCGTGCAGCCATGGGTTGGGGCTGAGCCGGGTTTGGCGCAGGGATGGCCTGGCTGGGCGCGCCCTGTTTGTGATCATCTGGGCCTGGCCTAGGCCACGTTAGGCTAGCACCCCTTCAAGCCCAGTGCCCCTGGCTGGTTCACGGGAGGGCAGGCGGCTGCTTCCCAGCCCAGCTGGGGGCTGCCCTGGGTGGGAGACAGGCAGAGGGAGAAAATGCAGTTCCTCTCTGCAGCACCAGGGGACCAGCCAGGTCAGGCGCTCTCAGCCTATGCGCTCCCTGCAGCCCAGACTCTGCATTGCACTCCTCCTGTGCCCCTACCCATCTCACCCTGCCATGGCTCCCCAGCACCTGCCAGCCTCAGAGTGCCCCAGGCTTGGCAAAATACGATCCCAGCCCCCCAGGGGGCTTGGAAAATGCCCAGCAGCACCCTTGTGACACAAAACCTCAATAACAGGCACCCAGAGCAGGAGTGACTCACATGGATTTGGGGGCAGAGCTGGGCATGGAACCCAGGAGTCCTGCCTCCCAGCCCCTGATCTAACCCCTAGACCCTACTCCCCTCCCAGAGCTCAGCACAGAACCCAGGAGTCCTGCCTCCCAGCCCCCCCTGCTCTGCCCATCCTTCTCTCCCCCCATACTCCTGCTAATAATTGCACACGCAGCCTGCTGGGGAACGTGCCCCGGCACAGGTCAGTCCCGTAGAGCCCAGCAGGCCCCGTTTCCCCTCCCTCTGGGCCAGCTCCTGTCTCCCTGCTGGGCACACGAGCCCTGCCAGCGCTGCGTGCCTGCTGTGGACAGGGTGAGAGACCCTGGCACCTGGGATCTGCTGCTCGGGCCCAGCCCCAATCTGCTCAGCTGCGGAGCTTTCCATCCCTGATCCCTGTGGGGAATTATCAGCTCCAATTAACAGCCATTTGGATAATTGCTACACGGCTGCCAGGCAGGTGGGTGGCGGATTGGGGGGTGTGGAATTAAAATGCTCCAGCAGAGACACCTGCCCGACTGTGGGCTCTCCAGCTCCCCCCATGGCTGCCCTTACAGCTGGGCTGCCACTGGGGCTCCGTGTGCACCCCAGGCCTGCACCTTGAGCAAGGGGCACCCCAGCCACACACGCTGTACCCCTCAGCCTGCCCCCAGAAGCATGAGGGGGGTGCAGGCCTGAGACAGCCGGCCATGGTCCTGGTCATTGCTAGGCGGGAAGGTGGGTCCGGCAGACAGGCCCAGCCTCCAGTCCCTCTCAGGGCAGAGTGCAGGATGCTGCCCTGGCTCTGCCATAGAATCATAGAATCATAGAATATCAGGGTTGGAAGAGACCCCAGAAGGTCATCTAGTCCAACCCCCTGCTCGAAGCAGGACCAATTCCCAGTTAAATCATCCCAGCCAGGGCTTTGTCAAGCCTGACCTTAAAAACCTCTAAGGAAGGAGAGTCCACCACCTCCCTAGGTAACGCATTCCAGTGTTTCACCACCCTCTTAGTGAAAAAGTTTTTCCTAATATCCAATCTAAACCTCCCCCACTGCAACTTGAGACCATTACTCCTCGTTCTGTCATCTGCTACCATTGAGAACAGTCTAGAGCCATCCTCTTTGGAACCCCCTTTCAGGTAGTTGAAAGCAGCTATCAAATCCCCCCTCATTCTTCTCTTCTGCAGGCTAAACAATCCCAGCTCCCTCAGCCTCTCCTCATAACTCATGTTTTCCATGCTCTGCCCCAGGCCCTGGTGAGGGCAGCTGGAGAGGGTTGCATGCATCAGCCCATGCAGTGGGCCTGGGGGAGCTGATCACTGTGCTGGTCCCAACCCTGGGGGCTGGTGGGAATGGGGTGCCAAGATGCCCCTGTTTCCCAGTGCCAGCTGTGCCAAGACCTTTGGGCCTGGATTGGGGGGATCATGACTAGGGTGGAGCTGGGACCCAGGGCCAGGTGAGGCTGCACCAGGCTTGCAGAAGAGCTCATCCTGCAGAGACCTGCATGCAGACTCTGCTGGAGGGAGAGTGTTTGGGGCAGAGCGGGGTGACTTGGGGGGCTTACAGCAGGGGTGGGGGTAGCAGGGAGGGGGAGAGGTTTACAGTAACTGCACGCTGTATACACTGCATGGGTGGGGGAGTCAGGGGTGATTTGGGGTGGGGCAGTGGGAGGCAGGAGGTGGGGGTGGCTGACACCCCCATGCAGCAGCAGTGCCCCCTGTAGGCAGCACTGGTGCATCCAATGGGCCCTAGAGCAAATATTGTCTAAAGATCAGAGTTCACCAAACCCAGGCTGAGCCAGCCCTGCCCATCCCTTGTGGGTGTGGACTGCAGCCCGGTGCCCCCTGTCCTAGGCCTGTTGGAGAGAACCCCCCCAAAACCCGAGACCCCCTCACCACAGCCAGTCCAGTATCCCCTCTCCCTGCTATGCTG